CCTCAGGCGACCGGGCGCCCGTTAGGCAGCAGCCTTGTATTGTCTCATAGAAATCAAGAGTGAACAATCTGGTTGTTTTAGTAGAATTCTAACTGAAGTTTCCTGCAACTAACGATTCCTATTATTTCTGGTCTTAGTATTAAACTTCACGCTTTAGAGAATTTGTGCAGACTGAATTGTCAATTTGACATTTGCAGTTGTTTATGTGCACTTATCAGTTTCTTTCAAAATTTGTGAACTTTTATAATTCAAGAAACCGTAAATGCCCTCCTTTTAGTCTTCTCAGGAATAATTTGATTATCCATTTGTTTTTAACTGATTTTTCGAAACTGCAGAGAAATGAGAAAGCATTGCAATTTTGTTGACCACACCAAGCTACTGCACACTCATGGCTGATAGTGTGCAATGGCCCAGCCAATCAGATTAATTACAGCTAACAAGGCCTTCCAATACAAAGCAATTAATTCTATTCTCTACAATAACATGCAAACTACGCAAAATTGGATTTAGAATTAATGATGTATGTACTTTTTGTAATGATGAACCTGAGAATTTATATCACCTTTTCTATGAATGCCCTCACTCCAAAACGTTCTGGACTAATTTTGAAGCATACCGGTACCATCTATCGAATCAGTCAATCCATCTTTCTGCATAAAATGTTTTATTTGGAGTTTTATCCAAACAATGCCCTTTATCAAATCTATCAAACTATTTCATAGTAATTGGAAAATAATTGTTATGGGACTGCAGAAGAAGCCAAACACTTCCTAAAATTCAAGGACTGCAATCGATACTAGTAGACTTCTACTAATATTAATTATGATGTTCGCAAGGGCGTCGTATTTGATCAACTGGAAAGCCTTTTAATCAAAATTGGTAAACCAAGAAGCAAATCTTTTATTGTTCCCACATGGTACAGACCTCCCAATTCACCTTTTGAATTATTCTCTGATTTTGAATCTTTTGTTGGAAAACTAGATGATGAAGGGAAAGAGCATTACCTTATGGGCGACCTTAAGGTCAGTCCCCAGTATTGCATTGCGCATCCCTACTGTGCATAATTTCACACGTGATTAGTGTACATGCATTAAAACATGGCAGCTTTCTCTTTACGGCTGGACCTCACCATGGAGGTAAATCATCATTTTCTCACAAACGAGTATGGTGACCTATCTGTTTTTTCTGTTGTTTTGAATTGAGTAATAAATTTCTGTGTGTAAAATAAATATGGACCAATTCTCAGTGTAGAACAAAAAACAATTGTCAGAAACGTGAATTTAGCAAGCAATCATGACTACAATCATGGTATTATATGGATTTATTGCGCATAAACAAGGTGCTG